CATGATTAGGCATAATATTTTTTTTTTGGTTAACACAAAACATTGGCATCATCTTTTGCAAGTCGCTTCTAAATGTAGCATCTGCTAAAGGCATTCATGTAAATGTACATGTCACCACTATTTTTGGTAATGTTTTAAGTTAATTTTGACAAGCCAAACTAATCAAACCAATATTCTTTAGACTGATGGCCAGCATAACTCATTAGGGTTTCCATAACTTTTTACAGCAATCATTATTCAAATGCCACACTAAATGATTTTGTGTCCCAGCATAGTATAATAATGAGAGAATTAGAACTGAATGAGATCATTTATTGCATTTGTAGCTTCTTTTTTAATAATGCATTTCGATAATAAACAGAAATAAAAATTGAATAATTTAACCGAGATTAATTATAGCCTGATTATCCAAATATACTGCTGCGTATACAGTTTTAACTGAATGTTTTCCATTTACTGTCTCGCTCTTTGTCATAGATATTTTAAATTTTCTCTGCACCTTACATGTTTATGTTTATAATAGGCTATCTGTCTCTTTCTGAGATTGAATTAGAAATTACTAGGAAATAGTTATAGAAAGCCATACTACAAATCTGTAAAAAAAAATCTATCAAACACTGTCCAACCATACCTAATATAGGCCTACGCTACTGTCTAGACTTTATGGCGTTTATAATTTTGCGAAAAGAACGTTTATTTTTAAATTCAAGATTTTTCTGGAGGTGTGAACAGAGAAGACTAATGTTTTGTTGCAGTTTGTTGTTTAGCTCACAATTCTGGATAGTAATGTTTCAACTCTAATAAAATTTTCTATAAATGACTTGTGGTAGAACTCCACTTCCCACAATGCATTGTGTAGAGGTGAAGCGGATGTTTATATTCCGCGTGAACAGTGAAGAATGTGCGAGCAATGACAGCAGCAGTGAGAGATGGATCGAGAACACAGAACACACTCAGCACAACACTCCAACACACCATTGATTCGTCTGTAAGTTGACATTGTTTTTAAGTCCGTCAGTGCGGTGTGGCATGACAGCCTGCGTTCTTATTTAGCCGATTCATAACCCAGCCTAATGAACTATAGCTCAGCTCGCTAACAGTTCCTCTTTTCTGGTTACATTTTAAACGTTTCGATCACATAAAAAGCCACATGTGGCTAAATCAAACGATATGGTGATGACAGAGCTAGCAGCCATCAGCAACAGCTTTCAGACTAACATTACAGGGATAGTTCACTCCAAATATGAAAATTGTAATTTTCTCATTTTGTGGGGGGGGGGGGGGAACTATCCCTTTAACTTGCTATGTTGGTAGTTATTCATTGAATGGCTTTCACAATTTTTTATTTACTATTTGGCAGTAATCAGCATGATGTTAGTTTGTTGTTTTATTTTAAACCACTAGAATATATTGCGTAAGTAACAGAAATACATCTTCACTGGAGAGAAAAAAAAACTGACAGAAGTCATTATTTCATATAAATCTCTCAACAGGAAGTTCCATTGTTAGACTTTATGGTTCATGCCAGTAGTTAGATTGTTCAGGGATATGCAATACAGTTTATGATATATATTTTACACATTAAGACATGCTGTTTGCATGTCCTTGGATCAAATGAGCCATATCCAAATTAAACTATCAGAAAATAATTTTTACTAACTCGTTTTGGAAAAACAAGCCAAACAATATGTACAGAAATACACTTACAAATGGATGTACAAGTGTCAGTGTTGTAAGAAACTGTAGTCTGCCCCGACCCAGATTCCACTCCACAATAGATGTTTGAACATGCTCAATTCTCAAAATGGCTTAATTATTATAGAGGAGAAGTCAACAATTATGTTGTTTCTGCACCATTTGGGATGATCGCATCCTGAGCAAATGGCAGCAAATGTGCCTCAGTTTAAATTTAGTTGGTTACCAAGGCAACATTTCTCATTTTCGTTTAGTTTGTTTAATATGTATGTTTTAATTCAGCTCTATTTTAATTAACAAAAATGTTTTTTAGTTTTAGTTAATAATAACTCTGCTGTCAATGCATTTATCTGTACTATTTGTTTTTCTGAGAGAAATTATTTTTCTGAGAGTTTAGCTTGTATTTAAACCAGAAGGTTTCCTTTAGCATTTACAGCATATAAGGTACTATATGTATGTTGTTCATAATTCCATTCTTATGCAAATTGTCATTGAATGCTTTTACGAATAATATACACTATTGAATTTAACTTGTGTTTCATGAATGAAGCCCATAAAATTACTTATCTTCCTTCATATTTCAGGGTTCTCACAGTCTTGTGTGATTTTGTTTGTGTGTGTCTCTCTATAACCCACAGGTCATGCATGCAGTTTGGCCTATAGCCTGTACTGTGTAGAGCCTATCGTGCTGCAGTGCAAGGAAGAGAAAAGGGCTGTGCTTCCTGACTCAAACACAGTCCTGCTGCTCCATGTTTCCTATGCTAACCCTTCTGAGCATGTTTTACTATATCTGTCTACGGCGGCGCTCCAGGAGCGGGACGCGGAGCGAGGCGTTGGGTAGCCGGCGGGCGGTGGAGCTGGGCCAGCGTTCGGCGCTGCCCATCACCGTTGAGGTCGAGCAGTATGGCAAAGAGGTCCTGGACTTCAGCTCTCACTATGGCAGTGAGAACAGCATGTCCTATACCATGTGGAATCTGGCGGGAGTGCCTAACGTCTATCCCAGCTCAGGAGATTTCACCCAGACGGCTGTGTTCCGCACTTACGGAAGCTGGTGGGAGCAGTGCACCAGCACTGCTTCCC